AGCCTTTAAGGGGCAAACCTAACCCCTAACGGACCTAGTAATAGGGGTACCCTAAGGGTCCCCTATTAGCCCTATACTATTCCTCTTATACGTAAGGGGGATACTAGCGGCTAAGGGGTATTAGCTATCCTATATAGACGATTTTAGTATCTCTATAACGTCGACCTCGGTAAAGAAGAACGCCCGGCAGCTAGAAGCTATAGCTACTAACCTATTCGAATAAGCTAAGGACTAAGGGGTCTATTTCGACCCCTCTAAGACGGAACTTATTTACTTTAGTAGGCAAAGGCAGCCTATTTTAGAGGGTATAAAGGTAGGAGGCCAATTTTTCGAAGCGAAGCCCTTAGTACGGTAGCTAGGGGTCTTCTTCGACTCTAGGCTCCTATTTAAATAATATATCGAAAAGAAGGTAGCCTCCGTATAAGCTGCCTTTAAAGGGCTATCCCGCCTAGTCTCTATATAAAGAGGCCTATCGTTTAGAGCTTCGAGGCAGCTCTACTAGGCCTACGTAACCTCGATAGTAGACTACGGGGCCTAGCTTTAGTATAGGGGGCCTAAGACCCCTAGGAGCCTAATAAAGCCTTTTTAAAGGCTTTAGAACTAGGCCCTTCTAAAAGTCCTAGGGGCCTTTAAAGGATCCCTTATTAGGGCCCTAGAAGCCGAAGTAGCCCTCCTACTACTAGAGGTACGGTTTAAAAAGGCATGCCTCTCCTATACCCTTCGAACCCTATACCTCTTACCGAATTACCCTATAAGGCAGGCTTATAACCTAGCCGTATAGGATGACCTCGCCGACTCGGGCTCCGACCTAGGAGCCCTAAGCTATATTAGGCCCTATACGTAACTCTTCCGCCTCCTTAAAGGACTAGTAGCTATTATAGGGCCTAACTATAGCTTAGAAAGAAGGAAAGCTAGCTAGGAGCCCCCGTAGGCTCTAGAGCCTAAGGCCTCTATTATAATAATAGAGGCCCTTAAGCCCTTAGCTAAGAAGTAGTACTAACGCCTCTTAGCTAACTTAGCCAGCCTAGAAGACTTCGGGCTACGGCCCTTAGTCTTTTATACCGACGGCTCTAAGGGGTGCCCTAAGGGGTCCCTTATAGAGACTAACGCTTACTCCTTCTATAAGATAGGCCTAGAAAATAAGCCTAGTAAGGCATACTACGAGAACCTAGGGCCTTCTATCGAAGTAGCTAACGTAGAGCTATTCGCGATACTAAGGGTCCTAAAGGACCTAGCTAAGAGGCCTCGGCCTCTAAGGTCTAGCCCCCTTAACCCCCTTATAAAGGCCTATATCTTTATAGATAGCTAAGCCGCTATATAAAAGGTTAAGGGCTACTCGGACCTAGCTATATATATTAGAAGGCTCTTAACTAGCCTAGAGGCCTTTTATAATATACGGTTATACTAGTGCCCTAGCTACCTAGGGATCTTCGGTAACGAGCTAGCCGACTAGCTAGCTAAGAGAGGCCTAGGGGCCCTTATATAAGGGACCCTTATAGTCTCTATTAGCTACTTATATAGAAAGGTCTAATAAGTAGCTAAAGACTATTAAAAGGGCCTCTAGGCTACCGAGGAAGCTAAAGGCCCTAAGGCTAAAGGCTTAGGTAAGTACTATACGTCTATTCGAAAGACCCCCCGCCTAGCCTTTAGCCTAGAAAAGGACCTTATAAGAAGGCCTAGGCCGACCCTTTTAGCCTACTACTAACTTCTCTATAGGGCTAGCTTCCTATTATCCTTCTTAAAGAGGATTAATAAGGTAGGCCGAGACGACTACCGCTATAGCTAAGGAAAGCATACGACTAAGTACCTTATCCTAAGGTGCCCGAACTATAGGAGGGAAAGAGAGGTCTATTACTAGGCCTTAAAGGGATAGAAGGAGGCCCTTAGCCTACCTTTTCTCTATAGTACTAAGGAAGGAAGGGAAGCCCTTTTAACCTTCTTAGCTAAAATAGAGATAGGAACGGCTAAGTAGCTCGAAAAAGAGTAACCTAGGGGCCCTAGGGCCCTTAAGGGGGAAAAACACTATATAAGAGGAACTAAATAAACCTTTCCTTTATCTTTACCTTTATAGCTACCCTTTCCTTAATTAGTTATAAGCCCCCGGGCTCTATAGCTAGCTAGGACTACTAATAGGGGCCTAGGCCCTTATTAGCCTCGCTATAGCCCTAGAGGCTATATATAAGTAATAATATAAAAAAAAAAGGCGGGCGAGGTAGTAGTTAGGCCTACGAAAGAAATAGATAATAAAGAGATAGGAGGAGGTATATATAGAACTAAAGGGGGAGGGTAGGTATATATAAGCGCGAGCTAGGCGCGCGTAATTAATAACTATAAGATAAAGGGTAAATATAGGCCGCCGCGCCCTTAATCGGGAAGTCGCGTAGCTAGACGGGAACCGATTTATAATTAGCGGAGCCGGCTAACCGAATTTTAATTAGCCGGCCCTACTTAGGAGCGATATATACTAGCGCCCGGCCCGGTAACCGGATATTACTTGCCCTACTAACTAACGGACTGATAAGCTAACGCGACCGCGGCTACGCGGCTACGACGCGGGAGCTAGGGTAAATAGAGGCGCCCGCGAGTCGGGCCCCCGGAGAGAGACTACTACCTATAACCCTAGGCCCGGGCTAGCGAGCCCGGGCCGCGGCCGCTCGGGATAGTAGCGGCCACGGCCTAAGAGGGCCTATACCGAGACGCGATTTCGCGGGAGGAGCCCGTAGTAGCCGGCGTAAATTTCCTATATACTACTACTACGACCTTATTTAAGGCGGACCTATACTAAAAGAGGGGAGGGTTTTCCCCTAGGCACTCTAGTTTTTCCCTCTTATTTAATATTAAAGTTCTAGATACCTCTAGCTAGGTCCTTAGTATAATCTTAATAATAATATATATATAAGTAGGCGTAGGCGTAGGTATAGGTATTTAAGCGGTATAGGTACTTACTAAGCGCGTATAGTATAAATAAGTAGGGCGGGCTAACGTTAACGTTAGCTACTTAGCTTATAGTATACCTTTTTTTTAGTACCCTTTTCCTATTAAAAGTTAGGTTTTTTATAAATCTATAACTAATTTATTAAAATAAGTAGAAAGACTAAAACTTTATAGCTAAAGAGCTAAGCTATAATAGATTTATAAAGTACTATAAGTTTTTCTTTTTTTTAATAATAAATAAGTTATATTACTTTTTAGTTTTCCTATAATAAAAATAAAATACTAAATAAATAGTTTAAATAATTTTATATAGTACTATTTATCTTTATATAGCTTTTAGTACTTAAAAGTACTTTCTATTTACTATTTTATTTATTAAATAAAAAGATAATAAGATATTCTTAAAATACCTCCTTTTTAAATAAAAAGAATTTTTTTTACTTAATAACTTAAAAGAAAAAGCTAGTTATAAGTCTTTAACTACTTTATTAGTAGTATATCTTATAAAAAAGCTTATTTACTACTTAGCTTACTTTATTAAAGTTTTCTTAATATTAATTTAATACTTTTTAAAGTATTAAAGCTTACTAAGTAAAGTAATAAAAAGTATTAATAAAATACTTAAGTTAGCTTTAAGCTTTTATATAAGTATAATTAGATATAATATATATAAAAAGTAAATGTTAATACTAACTTAAGCTATTTTACTAATAGTATTTACCCTTATAGTATAGTATTTATATACCTAAGAAGCCTACTAGCTATAATACTAAAGTTAGTTTAAATCTAGCTAAAGGTATAATTAATTTTTAGTTAAACTAATAAACTACGCTAACCTACTTATTAATTAGCTAATTAACGCTTTTAGAAGCGCTTATAAATATACTAGCAGTCTAGCCCCGCTATAAGTAGACTAGCCCGGACCTCGCCTACCTAGACCTAGCGACGAATTTATTAAGACCTCCCCTTAACCCCGGTCTAGGCCCCCCGACTAGGAAAATAAAAACCTAGGGCCGATACTAGTAACTTAATAAGTATAGCGCGAAGCTAGTACGATAACCTAACTACCGGCCTAGCTAAAGGCTAGTATTAATAAAAAATAGCCCGCTAAGCCTTATAGCGGAAAAATAAGATAGAGCCTAGGAAGATATTATTATAAAATAAAGTTAGAGATAATTATATAATTAACTATTAACTATTAACTAAAAACGCTTATACTACCGATTAACGCTATATACCCCGCGTATATAAAGGAGTTACTTTTTAAGGTTACTTTATAGCGGGACTAATATAATTCCGACTAACTATAACGATACCTAAGATAGCTAGCGTAAGATTCCTACGTATTATAACCGCGACCCGGTATAAGGGCGGACTAGCTATAAAAGAGGGGAGGGTTTTCCTCTAGGCACTTTAGTTTTTCCCTCCTATTTATAAGAGTCTAGGCGTTGCCTAGACAGTTGATAAGTGTGGTCAATTGATAAGCTAGGCAGCTTAGTCAATTCGTTACCTTTTGTCGCGTGCGTGCAACACGCCGTACGTGGCAGAGGGGGGTAGTGGCGCGACCACAGCCTGTGCCCTCTTAGGTCTACTCTATGACACTATTTAACGCTAAAGTTCTAGATACCTCTAGATAAGTTACTAGTATAATCTTAATAATAACTAATAGTATTCTAGGAGCTACTAAGCATAACTATTTTTCTTATATTTATTATTTAGTGTTTTAAAGCTTGCGTTTTAGTAAGAAAGGGTGCTAGAAGGGGGGTATGCTGTAAGCTAGGTGGCTGACGTTAGTACGTATCTTAAAAATGGGGTAAGTGTGCAAACAGCAATATGCTATTATGTAAATAGCAGTACTCCTTAAAAATAGGGCGAATGTACGGATAGCAATACGTATATGTACAATTAGCAATACTCATTACTTTTAGTTCTCCGCACTAGCATTAATCCCAGCGCTTGGGTTTATCTAGCACATCACCTCCAGTTGGTCAGTCGAATCCCCTGCATGTGCTCGATTCCACGTACTGACACAAAATACTCGAATCAGCCGCCAGATCCCAATCACGATGACAAGTGATCTGTCTATATCAACGTGCGTGTCATTGCACTCCGACACGCATCGTGAGGCTTAAAAGCTGACCGGCTTCACAGCGTCTACGCGCAGAATCTGGAAGAGAGGGTGAAACTAGAGCCACTTACCGAGGCTCTCAAGTCACTTTTCTCCGAATTTGGCAGCGTCGTCGATGTTGTGGCCAGAAAGAATGTCCGAGCCAGGGGTCAAGCATTCATCGTATTCGACTGCGCAGAGGAGGCTGAAAATGCCATCGACGAGATGCAGGGCTTCGAATTGTTCGGCAAACCAATGAAGCTTTCCTTAGCCCAAAGCAGGAGCGACAAGACGGTTGAAATGAAATGCACGGACGACGAGTACGCCGTGCACAAGCGACATCGTCAAGCCGAGAAAGGTAAGGCAGGCAGGCAATCGGTCATCCGAGTCCGCATCGACGTGCGCTAATGAGCTCTGCCTCTAGACAAACGGAGAGCCCTCGAAGCTGCCGAAGCCCAGAGGAACTTGAAGAGAGGCGCCACAGGCGGCTCGGACAATCGGCCAGTCAAGCTGACCAGGCCCTCTGGCCTGAAATCGACTGGCGTGACGACATCAGCGGTCATTCCGGACGAGTATCTGCCACCAAACAAGATCCTGTTCTTGCAGAACGTTCCTGACGATTACGACGTCGAGGGACTGACGGCAATATTTGGCCGGTTCGACGGATTCCGCGAAATCAGACTCGTGCCAGGGCGACGGGGCATTGCGTTTGTGGAGTACGAGGCAGAGCAGGGGGCCATCGCTGCTAAGGAAAATACTGCTGGGATGACGCTGAAGGACAAGGTTCTTAAAGTTACATATCAAAGGCAATAGACGCAGACCTTGCCCAACACCATGTCTCGTTTGTACAATGAAACAGCAAAGCCACCTTCTGTGCGCACGTTAAAGAATACCGGTGTTGATGCGGCCTGTGACTCCAAATTCCTGCTTGACAGATCCTCGACTGGCCTGTTAGAACGCCAGCAAACCAACAGCGGGCAACTGACTTAAAAAATGACGTCCTCATCGTCATCTGCAGCCAAGATATCTGTGGTGGCAGCGCCATGTTCCCCGTGATCCTGGGCGGCTCCGGTGTCGGCCAAGGGTGCCTCTCGCTTGGCCTTCGTCTCGGCATCTGCTTCGGCAGTGTCTCGTTGTTTTTTGTTGGCTACCTATTGTTTGATGTCAGGACACTCACTCACAGCAGACAAAGTCGATCTTCACTGGCATGCTTGCCTTCTTCAGCCTGTAAAACTCCTCACGGTCAAGTTCATCTAGCTCGGAATTGATGTATTTGATGGTGTTTTCCGTCCGTGGTATAATGACGTGCTCAATGGCGTTGACTGCAGTCCATTTAGCCAAGTTTGCGCAGACAGGCGACCAACGTTGGGTGGACGGAACAAACCTCTTCGGTTGACCACCTTGATAACCTCGTCGAGTATCACAAAGGCGGTTTGCAGGCTGGCCAACTCGACCAAGGCCTCGACAGCCCGCGCATAAGTCTCCCGGCAACGTTGAACTTGCTGGCCTCCTTTCCCCAGGCCGGTCAACCCAAAGTCATTATTGCCTTCGGTCAGAAAACTCTCAAACGCCGGAAGAAGGACGCCAGAGACATTGTCCTGTCTCGTACGGATTCGAAAGCGAGCAGACTTTGCCGACTCCTGCACCTGATACCCGATGTCCCCGCCGACCGCGTATGTGACTTCGGCAAGCGAAAAGGCAGCGATCTGCATGACACGTCCCATCTTCCTCTTTGCCTCGTCAATCCGCCGTGTAATCTCTGCCACACAGCAATGTCAGCCGTATAATAAGGCGTCCAACTCCAGTTGGGAGTGGGGTGACCGACCTCGAAACCGCCTGCACGAAACCGCAAAGGTCAGTTCCGATGCAAGTGAGGGAGACTGCTTAATCTCACTTAGTAAGAGCTTCGCTCTTCCGTTTCAGCAAACTGTGTCCCGTTTCTGCCCCCTTGAGCTTCGCCTTCATGATCCCCAGCGACTGCCGGGTGGGGAAGACGGCTTCGCGATCCTGGCCACAGGTTAAATCAGGTATGAGCTAATCGTGGGGAGGGAGATGCCACATACAGCAGCACTAGACATGTTGGGCAGTGCGTTGCTAAAGTGCTGTCCCAGCGATCAATGGCCGCAACGGGTAGACCTCAGAATGGGAATGATGGAGGCACAGCCGGCTGCCCGCGCAGGAGTGACGTCGCTCAGTGGGCTCGGTGAAGCTGCGACCCGCTTATCGGAAAATATCCTTATAAAGGGTCTTGACTTTTGCCCGTGCCGCGATGCTAGCTTCACACCGCAAAGCACCCTTCTCTGGCCATAAATGTACTGCAATCTCGTACAGTAATGATTCAAGCATCGAAACGAAACAGCAGCCAGGCCCGCGGCCACGAAACCGCCATACTCACCTCTGATCCCACCGTCGTGCGATGTTTCCGGTAGCCTGGAAACACAACCCGCACCACACTTTCGACGTTGCGATATAAACTCTTGTCCTCCAGCTGCTCGAAGCTGCCGCTGCAGCTATGGCGTCGGCCGGCTACAAGTCAGGACGACCTGACTTGCAAGTCCTTGTAGGTGATATCTGAGCATGTTGTGTCTTTCACTCCGCTAGTTAACATCAATCTTCAGTCCAGCGATGATGCTGTTTACGAGCAGGCCATTCTCCGTGACCTAGCCAGTGTCAATCCATGGATAGCATACATTGATTTCAAGTTCCGCCATGGTAGTCTCTTGGAGCAGAACTTCGTCATGGCTCGTGCATGCCTTCAGCTGCCCCGGTCATACAAGCTCTGGAAGCTCGTAAGTTTCCATGCCCGGCATGGCTGGACATCCTTGCTGACCCCAGTCAGTTCCTTACCTTTAGGGTAAATCATGTCACCGAATTGAATCCAACCGCCTTGGCCGTCGAGTACAACAAGGTCAATACTCTTTTCGAGAAAGCCCTGATTCTCTTGAACAAGATGCCTCGAATCTGGGAGATGTACCTGCAGTTTCTTTTGCAGCAGCCTGTGGTCACCCATGCCCGCCGAACCTTCGATCGGGCTCTGAGAGCACTCCCAATCACGCAGCATAAGCGTATATGGACCCTCTACCTGCATTTTGCCAATGCTGCTTCTGGAGAGACGGCAGTGAGGGTCTGGAGACGGTACATGCACATACATCCTGAGAGCGCGGAGGATTTTATTGAGCTGCTCCTCAGAACGGGCGCATACACTGAAGCCGCTAAGCGTTACGTCGATCTCCTGAACAACGTTCGCTTTACCAGCAAGCACGGCAAGGGTCATTTCGAGCTCTGGAGCGAGATGGTAGACGTTATCGTCGAACATGCGGCGGAAATAGACACGAAGAACGAGACTGGATTGAACGTGGAGCGCATCATCAGGAGCGGTCTCGTGCGCTTTGCCGATCAAAGCGGAAAGTTTTGGGCCAGCTTAGCGACATACTGGATTCGAAAAGGCAGTTTCGAACGGGCCCGAGACGTTTTCGAGGAGGCCATCATGACTGTCATGACGGTCAGGGACTTCACACTCATCTTTGATGCTTACGTGGAATTCGAAGAATCCGTCATCAGTGCTTTGATGGATGCTGCATCGAAGCGCGCTGAGAAAGGCGTCGTGCATGACGATGCAGATTTCGAGCTCGACTTCAGGATGATGCGATTTGAGCATTTGATGGATCGTCGTCCGTTCCTCCTCAATGACGTCCTCCTACGTCAGAACCCGAATAATGTGTCCGAATGGGAGAAGAGGGTCGCCCTCTGGGGTGACAACAAGCCGGAGATTGTGCAGACCTATTCCGATGCCATTTCCGCCATCCACCCGAAGCGAGCTACAGGCTCGTTTCACAAGATTTGGGCCAGATACGCGCGGTTCTACGAACGAGGCGGGGACTTGCGGAGCGCCCGCATCATCATGGAGAAAGCCGTCAAAGTCCCCTTCAAATCCGTCGCTGAACTGGCGGACATGTGGATTGAGTGGGCTGAGATGGAGCTCCGCAATGAGAACTTCGACGACGCGGTCCGGATAATGGCAAAAGCTGTCCAAGCTCCGAAACGATCCAATATCGACTACTTTGACGAGACTCTGTCTCCGCAACAGCGTGTGCACAAAAGCTGGAAGCTCTGGAGTTTCTATGTGGATCTTGTGGAGAGTGTTTCGACACTGGAAGAGGTCAAGAGGGTCTACGAACGGATATTTGAGCTTCGCATTGCGACGCCGCAGACGGTGGTGAACTACGCCAATCTCTTGGAAGAGCACCATTACTACGAAGAGTCGTTCAAGGTCTATGAACGCGGCCTAGACCTCTTCAGTTACCCTGTGGCATTCGAGCTGTGGAACTTGTATCTAACAAAGGCGGTCGACCGGAAAATCGGCATCGAAAGATTGCGAGACCTTTTTGAGCAGGCTGTGGAGGACTGCCCTCCCAAATTCGCCAAAACCATCTACCTGATGTACGGCAACTTGGAGGAGGAACGCGGGCTTGCACGGCACGCCATGCGCATCTACGAGAGGGCCACACGAGCCGTCGCGGACGAAGATCGCGCGGATATGTTCAACTTCTACATCACAAAATCCGCCTCCAACTTTGGTCTGCCATCTACCCGACCGATTTACGAGAGGGCAATCACGGCTCTGCCAGACGTGGAAGCAAAGGAGATGTGCCTCAAGTTCGCGGACATGGAGAAACGGCTAGGCGAGATCGATCGTGCACGAGCAATCTACGGACATGCCTCCCAGTTCTGCGATCCACGGACTAATGTGGACTTTTGGACGCGATGGGAGCAGTTTGAAGTTCAGCACGGCAATGAAGACACTTTCAAGGAGATGCTGAGAATCAAGCGAAGTGTCCAGGCACAATACAACACGGACGTCAACTTCATCGCATCCCAGGCCCTGGCCCGCAGCCAGCAGCGAGTGGACGATGGCACCGGCAACGAAGCTGCTGACATCAAGGCATCGTTCGAGAGGCATGCAAGGGCACCGGAAGGGTTTGTGGCTGCGAGTGCAAGCTCCAAGGGGGAGGTGACGATCGAGGCAACGCATCCGGCAAACCCAGATGCGATTGATATTGACGGCGTTGATGATGAATAATTCTGGCATAGACTTACCATGGATATTTATTTTACTGCTGATCATGGCGTAATTGTAAGGGTCTCAACAATGAGGATCCTTGTGCAGATCCTAAGTAGTTACCAAGCCGCCTCATTCTAGCAGCTGTGCTCTTGTACAAGACACATGGCTCCATCTTGATTAGTTTCTCTCATCTTGTGGATTGTTGATTGGATAGGCGATATACTAGATCTTTCAAGCATTAACTTCGTTTCTTTTGATAAATGAATGACTGCAGTCTATATCCGTAGTCTGGCGAAAGCCACCCACGTCGGTAGGTACTTCGTACTGCCCACCTTATTACCAGGTATTTACGGTGGATAGCGCGGTTGGCTAGAACGTGCCTTTTCCTTTCTGCAGATCTCCAGTGCTGACGTCCAGCGCGACTCGTCACCGCGGACGGAGTCGAATTTTCCGCTGTCTTCATCCAGAATCGCCGGCTTCGTCGAGGCCACCTACGCAGCTAGCCCGGATGTTCAACCAATCAAATGCCCCAACGAGCTTCCATGAGCTTACGGCAGTGTCTTAAAGGCAGTCGCTGTGGCGACTGTCTGAGGGGTACAAGAGGCTGGAAGAAACCGTGGGCTACGTTCCAGTCCGCCAGGCAGCCTGGTAAGAAAAGATGCGCAAGCTTGCCAACAGGATACTGACAAGGCAAGGGTCTCCCGTTTCCGGTCTTGCGAGGTCCAGAATCCTGGCGACGGATGCGGTTGAAAAGAGACGATTCAATGGGTGAGGACAGGCAAGGCACTAAACGTCTAAGGACCCGGAGGTGGTGTCGGGGTTGTCTTTTGCTCGTCAATCGACGGGCCAGGCACAGCCGCGCAGAAACCTACACTCAGATGCAGAAAGTCACCAGTGACCGCCCGTCGCCCATGCACGAATTCGATGGACGAGGTCTTGACGACATCAGGGGTGCTTCACGCCGTAGGCTTCACTGGCATGGATCTTCCCCGGCATGACGCACAGCTGCATGTCCTGTTTTGCGGCCAGCACCTCCGTCAGTATTCCACTATCGACGTGATAGACTGGCGGGCGGGAACGCGCCTTCATTCCGGTCGAGTTCGCGATCTGCGCGGGAGGCTACTCGATAGTCAGGCAGTAAGGTGGATCCACGTTCCGACGGGCTCGCTGTACAGGCTCTTACTCTTGGGCTCGATCATAGACTTGTCGGATTCGGAGCAAGGCACGGCAGCTCTCCAAGGCCTTCACATCATCCGACCACAAGTGCAACGTCGCTGGGCTTACGACCGTCGACCATGACAGCAGTCCCATAGTCTTCCTTCGGCGGCTGGAAAGCGCCATCTCCTACAGTCCCGATGTCTGCCTAGCTGCTACTGTCGCCAGCTCAGACTTCTCTCAACAGGAATCTGTCGGTGCCTAAGGTGCTCCGTCGGGGTTAATTGGCTGGTTGGTGCACAGGGAGATGGATCAACAAGCCAACTTGAGACTAACAATTTTACGCAGTAGAACCTCGACGCGTCTCACCAACTCCTGACCCTACTGCAGGGACGGATGCTAGCCTGATCGATAGACATGTCTCACTTGTCATGGGCGAGGACCGCATTCTACTCGGATTAGAGGCGCCGTCTTGCTGCCAATGATGTCCATGTATGCTGGAAGTGTCCTCGATAACATGATCGGCACTCACGGCACGCCCCACCGGATGACTGGTTGGAGCTTCGGACCCCCATTCTTATACATGGCAGTGCATGGCCGTCGAGTGCCGCCATGGGCAACGACTTCAGCTTGTAACTGGCATGCGTTGTGTTGTCACTGGTTTCGCTGTGTCGATCTTCGATCGATCAGAGCCCCCCCCCCAACGCGCAACCATGCCTTTCCTGTCCATCAGCCCATTGCCTTATATCACACCTGAGTCCGCTCTTGCTTGAGGTATGCAGGGCAGGTATCCTGTAACGAAACTACGGATGAGCATCGACCTGGCTCACAGAATCCAGCATCACTGCGTCGGGCCAGGCAGAGCGGAATCAGATACCGGGAGCGCTCAGGAGACGAGACAGTTGGGATGGACGAGCAAACCCCGCTGGAGAGATTGCCGGCTCTCTTCAGGCAACTTTACGACTTGCCCTCGTCCGAGGTGCGGCAGAGCAGCCATTTTCGAGCGATCCGGTCAGACTACCACGACAAGACCGAAATCCTATCGTCTATCCCGGTCCCGTCTCGACGCTCACACCGGCCACTTCACCTACTACACACTCTGTTGACCGAGATCCCGGGTCCATGGCCTGCCGTGCCCCTGATCAGGTGCTACTCGCGTCTGTGGAAATCGCTCCCGGAAAAGATCAAGTCTAGCCCAGGTGGAGAGCTTTCCTCACTGCTCAGCAGCACGTCAAGACTAGTCAAGCGCTCGTACAACTCTTTTTCGGACTTCCTTGGCCGGACCACCGATCCAGCACTTCGAAGCCCTCAATCGGGCGATTCCATCACCCATCAAGGCTTGCACGATTTCGCCAAGAAATTCCGACTGCCCAATTCTGTGACGACTCGGAAGCCCGTGGTCGCCATCGCCCTGCCCAACGGGCCGCTGCTGGCAGCGACATGCGTTGCGGTGACGACTTACTACACCTCGGCCCCTATCAATCCGGCAGCAGGCCCTGAGCAATTCCGTGCCGATGTGGCTCAAGCTAGCGCGCAGTTCATACTCACCACGGCGGCAGATTATGAGCGACTTCAGCTCAACGACGCATGGGTCAAGGCCGCGAACATCAAGGTTCTATTTGTTGAGTGGGATGGTGGTGACGGCATCGCGCTCACGACGCCGAGCGGGGAAGTTCTGTTGACGCCAGACGAAAGTCCAGCGCCTAACACGGCAGATGATGTGGGACTTGTTCTCTTCACAAGCGGGACGTCGGGTACGAAAAAAGTAGTGCCCTTAACGCTGCATTCGATCATTGCCGGGGTAGTCTTTGTCATGGACTCATGGGGCCTAGACTCGAAAGACATCTGCCTAAACATGATGCCGTTGTACCATGTGTAAGTGAAGCTGAGTCGGCATAACGAGACCGTTTCCGATCTGACTTGACATTTTCCTCAGCGGTGGCTTGGTGAGGAATATATTCGCTCCAATTTTCTCGGGAGGCTCTACCGTCTGCTGTAACGCCTTCGAGGCAAGCTTGTTTTGGGACGTTGTTGAGGATGTGCAGCCAACGTGGTATTACGCCTCACCATCTATGCACACTGTCATCTTGGCACAAGCCGCGGAACGCCCGTCGTCACTGAAGCGCAGCCGAATCAGATTGGTCTGTAACGCCGCCGGTGGTCTTTTGCCCTCTCTGGCGTGCCAGTTGCGTGACACATTCAGTTGCGTGGTGCTCCCCAGCTATGGCATGACAGAGTGAGAATACCCCCTGGCACGAACCCGCCTCCACAAACATGCTAACTGACGACCAGATGCATGCCAATCTCAACACCGCCGCTCGACTATCGACTGGATCGTGAAGGCACCTCGGGAATCAGCACTGGCCCTGAGCTGACCATACTTGACCAGTCAGAAGCCGAAGTGCCGCCCGGCACAGTCGGCCGGATTTGCGTGCGGGGAGAGCCTGTCTTCCCTGGCTATCTGCTCCCCGATGGTTCGTTTGACAAGCGACCATTCAACGCTGATGGATGGTTTGATACGGGCGACTTGGGCTTTATGGACACTGACGGCTATCTTTACATTACCGGAAGGAGTAAAGAGGTAATCAACCGCGGGGGCGAGTTGATCTCGCCGTTCGAGGTGGAAAACGCCATCATGACGGCCACCATGACCGACACTCCTATTCGCGGCCGCGTAAGCCAGGCCCTCGCCTTTTCCGCTTCTCACAGCGTCCTGCAGGAGGTCGTGGCCGTGGCCCTGGTCACACCTGCCAATACGCCTCGGGTCGATTTGAAAGCATTGCACAGCGCGCTACGGTCGTCACTCCAGCAAGCTAAGTGGCCTGTACTCATTGCCTACATGGACGATCTGCCGAAGAGGAATAACAAGGTCTTACGCATCAAACTCGCCCAACGGCTTGGCCTTCCAGAAATGGAAGACGACATGCCCTACCTGCGAAGGCATTGGCAGGCCTCTTGCCCGCCAGCAGACTCGGCACTGTCGGTCCCCATCCAGTCATCACCGTGTTCAATCGACTATGTGCTTGTGTCGCAAGCGTTGAGCAGTATAGTGCCATCGAATCTCAGGTTTCACTGCCACAAATACCCCACGGACGATGTGTTTGATGTAATATTGGCTCCGGCCAAGACGACTTCTCCTAAACCGCAGCCCCGGGCTGCCACTGAGCTGCAGAAGCAATTATGCGCTTCTTTACACAACTATATGTCGCCCCAGCAGTTTCACGTTTTGCCGGACCCGATGCCCGCGGACAAGCACGGGGATGTCGATGAGACTGAGCTTCGGCAAACCCTGGATTCGCTACTGGGCGCAACGCTGCACAAGCTTGATGAGACCACGGATGGCAGGGTTGTCAAGGTGTTCGCAGATGTTTTATCCCGGCACCCAACAGATATCCCGGCCGACGTCGATTTCTTCAGTCTTGGCGGTGATTCCTTGCGAGCCGGCCGTTTGCTGTCGGCTCTCCGGTCCACTTTCAATGTGCAGCTGCCGATCAGCATCGTATTCAATCAGGGCACGGTCCAAGCCATCTCGGCGTACATCGACAAAGTCGCTGCAGCGGGTCCGAACGATTACTGCGACGGCCGCATCGTCGGTTGTACGACGACGAACAGCTCGACAAACCCCCTGCTGATGGCCCTGCAGCTGCTACCACTGGTAGTTGTATATCCATTGCGGCGAGCTTTCCAGTGGACACTGTTTGTCCTGGCTCTCAGTTACACTCAGAACTGGTCTACACACGCATCTGTGCCTGGCCGTTTTGTCAACGTGTTGTTGAGCATAACTCTGGCGCGGCTCATCGTCCGATGCATTGCCCCCTTCGCAGGAATCGCCGCCAAGTGGATCATCATCGGCCGCTATCGCGAAGGTCTATATCCCATGTGGGGTTGGTATCATTCACGTTGGTGGATGGTGCAGAAGATCGAAAGCATTTGCGGCATGGGTTTATTTGGCGTGAGTGAAAGCACCACACGGATATACTGCCGCCTGATGGGTGCTCGTGTTGGCAAAAATGTTAAGCTTGCCGGAGCCGCGCTGGGCGAATGGGATCTGTTGGACATACGAGATGGAGCCGTGCTGACACGCTGTATATGTCGACCGTTTGCCGCTGAAGGTAACACAACCATGTACCTGGGCAAGATTGTCGTGGGCGAGAACAGCTCTGTCGGGATCTCGTCGATTGTCGCAGCCGGGTCGCGCATTCCGCCAAACACCTGCATTGGCCCGAACTCGTCCAGCTGGGAGATGGAGGACGCCGAGGAGGCCAACCGCGGTCTTTCTCTTGTCGGGCACGCGAAGCCACATTGGCTCTTGACACTCTTACTCACCATGCCCTTGGCCCTGGTGGCTTGGGTTTTGGCACTCTTGCCCTGGGCCGGAGGGCTTATGGGCATGGTGCTCAAGCAGCCTCACGATCACGACACACCCCTGAGAGACGTCCTCGACTGGTTCGCCGCCGCAGAGCGGGTTGCCTACCACTACCTCGCACTCATACTGAGAACCTTCTTCGCCCCATTCATCATGTTCGCCTTCACGGTTCTCGTCAAGGTCGTCCTGGATGTCTTGTTCGGCGAGCTTGGACCCAGCTCTTCGATGAGTCACAGCGCAATCGCGGCGTGGCGAGTGGATTTGATTAGGAGGCTGATGCCTGTCCGCAAGCTCCACGAGCTAACTGCTCTTTTTGGACAACACTACGAAGCGACGTCCGTCGCCTTTCGCATGCTGGGAAGCAAAATTGGCAGGCGCGTGTATTGGCCCGGCACAGGCCCAAGCGTTGGCGACTACCACCTGCTCGATGTCGGCAATGACGTCGTCTTTGGCTCCCGAGCTCACCTGGTCACATCGGACGGTACGGGGTCTGAGAGAATCACCATTGGTGACCACGCCATGATCGCCGACCGCGTCTGCCTGCTCCCCGGCGTCATCATCGGCGAGGAAGCGACGATGGGCTCTGGTTCTTTGACCCGAAGAGGCAAGAGTTATGACGCAGGTGGTACCTTCGTCGGCTCCAAGGGCGGCGACGCCGTGTGCCTTACCACGGGCCGCGACCGACTAAACGAGAAGCATCGTCGCACATGCTTCAACCCCATGGGCAGCGATGTGACGCTCACTGGGGATGGCCCGATGCCCCCAAAGGAGCCGATGCGAGCGCGGATTCAACACATGAGCAGCGATGATACTTTGACTGAGACGCGAAAATACTCGCGACAAGCACGACGCGAGAAGAACCCGGACCCATACTCCTCATCTGACAGCGACTCGGACGACAATGAGGATCCGCCCGTTTCTGAAACCGGTTCGCCCTTTGGACGCGCCTTCTACATGAAGCTCGCCCCGTATCGCGTGCTTGGACCGTTCTCGATCTTCTGCTATTCCACATTCATGGCTGTGTTCACCGCCTTCTACTGGAATGTTTCGAGTGTTTCATCTATTCAGGTGGTGGATGCAATGATGAATCACTTGGTCGACCGCAGAAACAACATTGGGGCACAGGCCTTCTTTCTCTTCTGCCTGTGTTCTTTGGCCATGGCCATTCTCACGACGATACAAGCTGTGCTCGCCTTGGCCATCGTGATAGCGGCCAAGTGGGCTCTCCTTGGCCGACGACAGCCGGGCAATTACGATTGGGACAAATCGTCATATTGTCAGCGGTGGCAGCTCTTCCTGAGCATTGAAAGGCTTCGGAGACAATGTTTTCGCGGCCAGGGGGTCCTCGGTCTCTTGACTGGGACCAGCTGGATAGTCTTCTACTTCCGCGCCCTCGGTGCAAAGATTGGGAAAGATTGCGCAATCTTTGCCAACGGCTGCCCCAGTCTCATGTTCACGGAGCCAGACCTGATCACTCTGGGCGATCGTGTAGTGGTTGACGATGCGAGTGTCGTTGCTCACATAAACACCCGTGGGAAATTCGACCTGAATAGGCTTGAAATTGGTAGCCGCTGCGTCCTGCGTACCGGGAGCAGGTTGCTCAGCGGGGCCATGATGAAGGACGATAGTTGTCTGCTAGAACACACACTGATCATGGGCGGGGACGTTGTAGAAGAGAGATGGACCATGCAGGGTTGGCCCGCCGAGAGGTTCGGTGGCCAACGCGTAGACATGGATGCTGACGTCAAGACGCCGGGTCGATATAGCGTATAGATATTAAACAGAGAAAATTAAGATAAGAAGGAATAAATAAAGCGTTAAATACTGCCAATAATCCTGTGCCAGTCTATCTCTGGTTATAAAAGCTGCATGATATTGATATATTAATACGTGATCACTTACACATAAGTGATGTTTACGAAGTGTGAATCATAAGTAGGTAGGTAAGTAATACTGCACAAATCACGCTTCTTTGTACTTGGTTTATGGCGGGCGATATGCGGGAGCAGGCAAGTGCGAGGACCGGTTTTAGTGCGCGCGCTTAGAGATCTCGAGCTACAGTACTCCCTACAGAACGGAGTACAGTACTCCGTACAGTGATTGTACCTGCCTTCCTGCGGCTACGGAACCAACCACACACGTAAATCAATCGAGGTCGGGCATCGCGACCGCCTTTCCTCCCTTCGTCGTCGCCTGCGGCCATGCTTGAGCTCGCACTCAGTCCGACCAACAGCGAACGTCTTCACCGTCTTGTCCAGGAAGCACCACCAAGTCCTGGCCGCGGTGGCGAGGAAGCCCCAAAGGGAGCACGGCGGCTTTGCTTCACCGAAGCCGCAAAAGGCCTGTCAAGGGCGGCAGACGAAAGGGTATGCATGTCGTATGCAAGCGAGAGTTTAGAGCACAAGTGCTCTGCTTACAGTAATCAATTCGTGTACTAATGTTCCGGCGTGTATAGAGCCGCCACGATGCAGTGCTGCAGCTTGTCGCGACCCTGTTGCCACAGCCTCCTTGTCTCCACCAGGAATCGGAGCAAGCAGCGGACGCCTTGAGCCTCGTCCGAGCTCTCCTCGACATCGCCCGGCCACTGGGCCAAGCCACCGGTATGTCAATAGTCCACGACCTCTGGAATTGAACTCACCCGCACGTCCTGACTGCCGCAGACAACCGTTACGCTACCCATGCCCTTGTTGCCGAGTTGGTGCTAGCCGCGCTAGAGCTACTCTCCCGCTCGGGGCTCGATTCTCTTGACGACCAGGCTCTCGTGCTGATTGTTGCGTACACCGATGTCCATGACCCGTGGACTACTCAGCCGTCTGCTTGTCTGGCCACTGGTCTAGTAGCACCACGCCTGTCCAATGGCAAGCTTATCCCATTCATCGTTGGACCCGTGCTGCAGGCCTACATTCGTCCCATCTTCTCGCAATCAGGTGGCACGGTTCTTCGCTCGGGCAGACCAGTCCAAACTCGGGACGCTCATCAGTCGTCTCTAGAGAGACCTCGCTGGAAAGAGCAAGACCCGTTCGTCGTGTCCGTTTTTCGCTGGGCGGTCGACAATGCCGATGTAAGCTTCCCGTTACGCCTCTCTTTGCCTGTGGCTGGAGCCCAGACACCACCCGGCACAAGCTAAACCACTTCCTTAGACACCACTCATCGCAGGCAATTGGCCTCTGTTTCTGCCCGTCCTGCTTACTTTGATCGAGGACCCAGAGGTTTCTGTAAGAGAGAATGGCCTCGAAATTCTCATCAAGTTCCTGCAAATGTGCCCCCCCGAGATGCTACTCCCGACAGGGCTGGGGGCTCTTTTCGAGGACGCCATCTTTCCTTCACTACTTTCCCTCCCGAGCTCGGTCGAGGCGCAAAATTGCATCACCACACTTTGCCTGGCCTACGACGTCCTTTTGCAACTGGCGAGAGCAGACCGGGAGCCACGACATCAAAGAAAGCGACGCTTACTAGATCGACTCATACGGGATGGGATCCTGGCTGGCCACCTCAATACGTCCACGCATGCCGTTGTCATCGAAACCCTAATGCACTATGTGGCTACCGCTGTTGATCGCCTAGGCATCTTTGCTACCAAGCATCTTGAAGTAATCCGATTGGCACAACCCCAAAGCAGGAATCGCAGACTAACGATTCTTCTTTCAATAGATCCTCCTTCAAAACATCGACTCTATCATGACGGATCCGTTCGCTGCTGTACGCCCCTCGACTATTGTGGCTTCAGGCAAGGCACTGAATGCTCTCTTGACCAATTGTTGGCCGAGAATGCTTCAGGCCGCGCATACGGAACAGGTTCTTCGCATTATTACAACATGCTGGGTGAACTCGCACAATCAGGCGGTAACAGCCGGAACGCCCGCAACGGATGATTTGGCTCGCATTCGCGAAGAACTCCTCTTAACCTCAAAAATGGTTCAATCCATCTGGCAAGACCGCCTGCCTGAAGAGATACAACACAAGCTTTCGGAGACTATGTCAAGAGAACCCCAGCTCCGCTCACTTCTTCACCACACGCCTTTATGCTAGAGATACGGCCAATTGCGAGCTTTCTGGCCGAAAAACAATAGACGGGCTCCAGCAGCTGGGTCACGCGCGCTAGTCCAGAGGCTGCTGCTTGAAGAAGGACTTGCCGTGAAGCCACTTTTGATAGGCTTTATATCTCTTCTTCGGGCCGTCTTCTTCTGTCACCGTGAGTGGATTTTCGGCAACCTTCAACAAGTCACCATAGACGTCTACTGCCTCCTCGGTGCCAGCCATCACAAGCCCTTCGTTTTGCCAGCTACCGCTTACGTACTCCTGGTACTCCGAAGAATCGACATGCAGAGGCGTGTCGCTGGAGACGACGAGCGGCAGATTTTGTGGGTGACGGATGTATCGCTCGTAGTCATCCGCCTCGTGGCCTTTGACCGACGGGTTGAGAGAATCATGCACGGCTTTTGTGAATGTCCACTGCATCTCTTTGGACTTTTCAAGCGACGTGGAGTTTTCCTTGTCTCGATCAAGGTCGTCTGCTGACGCCTCGTCGATCCTGGGCGAGAGTCCCGGTACCTTGTCGTGCATTGGCTGTAGCCAACGCTGCAGCGAAATGCCTCTTGCTGCCGTTCGCCCAGAGGCGGTCGAATTTGTGTCGTCGTCTCCGGTTGGAAGCCGCGGCGAGTTCGAGGGACTAGGATTTGCGGCTTCCTTCTTGACCTTCTTCCTGTCCCCTTCGATATCGCCGTCGGTGCGCACCCGGAAAGGGCTCAGGTCATATCGCCCATCCTGTGTCGACCTGAGAGGAATGTACTTGATGGTCGAGTTCATCTTATATGCAAACATTTTGGGGAAAGATGAGAGCGTGGCTGGTCGATAATACTCAAGCCAATAATCGTCGAAGAAGGCTACGGGCAGGGTAACCGTTGGCCCCCATAGCGGAGCCAAGAGCGGGATTGTTCTGGCATCGAGGTGGGACGGCGCGTACCAGTTGATGTAATTGCCATGTTTGGCCGCAGACCAGTCCCTGGGGTCGGCATGGTGGAGATAGTAATCCGTTGCTAGGTCCCAGAGCATCGGCTGCCCCTGAGCAAAGATGTAGTTTCCCAAAAACAGGTTGTACGCCTCCTGACGTTGGCTGTCGAGGAACGAGTTGTTGTAGTACCTCTTGAAGCTCTCAATCATGTCGCGGGAATGGCTGGTCCACTGGTTGATCTTCCGGTACGTCTCCATTGTGTTGACGAGCTGCGACCCGCCGTATTGCACGGCGATTGTGTCTCCGTGGTCGTGCCACATGTGGGTGAAGAGATTGACGGCATCCGTGTCGTACTCGACGCAGGTGTCTTCCAAGATGCCCAAGGCGTGCAGCTGATGACCCAGCGCTCGCTTCCCAATGACGAATTGCGCAGCGTTGGTGCGGTCCAGGCAGTCGATGCAGTTGGTGCGAGCCACGCCATTCTGGGCCGTCATGGGGCTCGTTCGGCCATCGCCGTTCTGGAAGAACCCAGTAGTGCCCAAGACGGATTCTGCAATCACTTCCAGGTTGCCGATGACGTCCCCGCCTCGCACTTTGGACGCTCGGCTCATGTCCCAGGCTTTGTGAATGATCTTCTTCGCAGGGGGTAGAAACTGGTTGAGGTAGTCGATGGCGTGCGTGTACTCCTCGAGTAGCTTGGATTCCCTGGGCTGCCGCTCCTTTGCCTTGATGAGGTTCACCACGTAGATTGGTGCTCCATAGCGCTCGAACAGGTTGTCGAAATGAAGCGCCGCAGCGCTGTAGAATGGATCGACAAGGTTGAGCTCGATTGGCGGTTTGGGCGTGACTCCCGTGCTGTCCTGGGTCCAGTACAGGGGGATGCTCCCGCGGTGCTGGACGTACGAGGTGTACTGAGGGCTGCAATACAGCCGGGGTCCAGGAGCGTGAAAGGACGTCGTCAGGGACTCGGCCACTATTTGTTCCGTCTCTACGTCGTTGGCGACGTAGCCCTGGTTTGCGCATCAGCTTAACGTCACGCCGCGTGGGGGACATGGACAGGCGAGAGGAGCTCGTCGATGGCATACTAGATCATTGGCGCCGCGCTTCAAAAACCGGGCACCAGCGAAATAGCGTGACCGCCGTGCAATGACGGTTATGTGCGCAGTTCGCCCGTAAATAGAGAGGGCTGTGTCCTCGTGAGCACACAATCAGACATGCTTCGGCTGCATCTCCTCCTGGCCCGCTTACCTGCCTGGTCGATGTAGCCGTGGATGATGGGCCGGCACCAGTCGTAGGCATCGGGGAGGGCTTTGGCAGCCGGCTGAAGAAGGTAGTCGTTCCATATGAACATGGAGTTGAGGTCTTCGTCCGGGGGGGACAATATGCCCTTGGCGATTGCCGAACGCTCCCGGGCGATGTTGTGCTGAAGAGTCCGCGTCACGTCGTAGGAATAGCTGTAGTAAAATGACCTGGTCAGGTCCAGGTTGTTGAGAATGCCCAGAAACCTCTGTTCCTCGGTGTTCCTCGAATCCGACTTGAATCGCCCGGATGTGAGCGGGATCAGCTCGGTGCCCTCGACCTGATAGATGTAGTGGCCGCCGACCATGGCGACGGTGCTCTTTTTGGTGATGAGCAGCATGTAGTAGGGACCCGTGAATTTTATGAAGCCCAGAATACCCCAAGTGGTGCAGCGAAGCTTGATCCCCCCGGTTCCCCGATTCCCGTCGTCTATGGTATCCAACAGCTGGTTCATCTCCTTGAGACTGTACACGATCTTGTCGTCCGTCATATTGAGCTCAGCTCCTTCGGTAGCCCTGTCAATCTTGAGGATCCTGTACCTCTTCTCGCTCACATCAACTCCCACAACGTAGTAGCGACTGGCAGTTTCATACAGGCTGAACTTGTGCATCTTGTATACCAGCCGGTCGGGTATCCCACCGTCGTTGTTCCGATCGGCGGTCGGGCACGAGGGTATGCGGGTTGCCGAGTCCGGGCTCGTGGTGCGGATAAAGGATTCAAACACGGTGGTGTCTTCGTCGTTTCCACCCCGCGCAGGGCTTCTGCGCGCGCCCGTGGCATCGGAAGGATTGGGCTTTGCTTGTTCACTGTTCTGGAGGAGCGGGAAGGCCCGGGCGCCGTCTATTGAGTCTGACCTCCCACGGGGAGGCGGCGTCGTGCCGAGCCAAAGTCCATGAATTGAGCTTGCGTCTGCAGGAGCGTCGGCCATGACGAAGAGTTAAAGACACATCGCAGGGCGTGATGTAATGCGCGAGACGCTGACGATGCGGTTGGCCAATGCTGCGATGTCAATGGTTTGGGCCTGAGGCGCTAAGCCGGATTCGGATGTGGGCAGTAGAACCAATCTTTGAAGTTCGTCCAGGAGCTACGACTATCATAAAACAACCTACAGTAAAAGTAAGCTATATTCAGCATTGTCAGCCCTATACAAGTGGTTTAATACGGGTCGCTCGCCTCATTTCAACTCTAGCATCCAGCAGGAATGGGTTTCCTTCTTTCATGTCATATTTCATAGGATAATGTACAACGCGATATTGAAGTAGTAATCTGGAGAAGAGGAAGCTAACGGTCCGTTGAAACCGTACTTTTCAAAGCTGCTCCACTGGTCTCCTCATCTTTACTCTCATGATTGCTTGAACCTTCCACATCACGGGCTATTTCAGGCTCCTCCGCGGCTAAATCGCTTCGCAGATCCGGCAAAAACCGATCGAGACGTGCCCAGGTCTCGTTCCACACCCTGCTTTTGCTTGCGTCGCCTGCTGGAGGTGACAAAAATCCGGTGCTTGCCATGAACAGAACCACATTTTTCAGATTCTCACGCACGGCCTCCTCCTGTTTCTCGCGTCAACGCCGTGCAACTGGACCACACTTCAGATGGGTAGCCACTTACCAGACTGTCTCCCTGGCCACTGTTCATCAGACGGTCCATGATTTCAATGATCTTGATCCAGAGATCAAGCATGCCCTCCCATTCAGTCAAAAGTACCAAGTACTGAAGGAAAACCTTGCACAAAAGCGAGGCGGATTGAACTCGCATCTCGCTCATCCCCTCCCGATCCAACGAGAACACTTCCGGTTTCAAAAGCCGAAGAATCAACGGGAACAATACCTTGCCAAAAATCGCCGTCCATTCTTTTGCGTCAGTGCATGTGAGCTCTGGCGAGAGAAGCGACCGCTGCATAGCCGAGAAGGCTAGCTGGCGCACCTCGCGGACAGGATTCATGCACTGTGTTGTCAGGGCTTGGAAAATTGGAAGCCAGTACGCCGACCACGCTGACGGCGAATTAGTCAACGTAACACGACCGGCATCTTGAGGCATACCTTCAGCGCTTTCCAAATGGGACTGTTGCATGAGCTGAGGCACGCGGTTGGTCATGCCATGCAAGGCTTCAACAGCCTTGCAAGCCCGAGCTATGGCCTGCTCGCCACTATGGGAGAAAGCCAGAGTCAGTAAACCTCGGGATAGCACAGCAGATTTCTGACATCTGGAAAATATCACTCACCCCTGAAGGGCTTTAGTTGGCCGGTCGCCTTTGCGCTGTTCGCCATCCACGCGTTGCCCGGATGGCGCACGAGGATTGGCGGCGCTTGCAAAGCAGTCCAGCAGGGCGATGACCGTTTCGTAGTTGTCTGCCATGACTGCAGGCGGGCTTCCTGTGATGCCCTGCTCAAGAATCTCGAATACCGATGCTGCCGACGCTGGGTTTCCAGCCAAAACTCGCATGATTGCCCAAAAGTCTGGGGAAGTCATCATCTCGCTTCTCAGAGACCCAGGAGTGTCGGTGCAGTCGGCGAGCCCCTTGAGGATTATTTCCCAGGACTTGACCAGTAGTTCTTGCGGGAGACTCGAAATCGCATGGAGCAAGAACGGAACGTTGACGAAATCATTGTCCTGCCTTTTGTCTCAGCCCAGCCGAAGGATAGTACAATGACTCCATGCCAGACAATCATATCACTTACATAGCCATGCTTGAGAATCATCATGGCATAGAATGCCGCTCGTGATATTATGATGGGATGACAGTGCGAAAAATCGCGCAGGAGAGCCTGCAGCACATCGTACACTCGCTTCCCCATGACCTCGACGGACGCAGCATCCCGAGTAGCCATGATCGTGCTGAACTCCAAAATGTAGGCCGTGCTCGGATCGTACTTGGGCAGTGCCATTGCGGTGCTTGGGCTGTTGGTGGGAGAAGCGGCCAAGGAATCCTGCTTGACACTGATGACAGCTGTGTGGTCGCTTTCGGGGATTTGGTCTAATAGAGCCTGGACCAAAACTGAGGCTGACGGGGCCGTGAAATTCCTGAAAAAGGTTAGTGCAGCTCGCGTGGTCCGGCGTCATCCTGGCAGCTTACGCGATGTTATTGAAAACATTGTTCATGTTGCAAGACTTCACACAGTCGAGGGCGCAAAGCGTACTCTCCAGTTCTTCCTCGGATGGCTCCGGGGGATCATCTGCCGCATAACTGGAAATGTAAGACGTAAACGCACTGAAGAAACCCGTCTCGATCGACCGATTCACCCTGTCGATGACTTGAGAAGGCGTCTGAAGCGGAATGGACGGGATTGGTAGGGAGAAGTGGCTAGCGGAAGAAAAGGATGGGACCAGGGAGTTGATGAACAGGTTTCGCCAGATTTGTATGACCTTGGCCAGTTAGTTGTGCCATGTACGGAATGTCTTGACAGCAAGAACAAGCGCGCAATGAACATACATTCTTCCAGCCCTGTCGAACAAGAGCCTCGCTGCCGGTGACAACCCGGAACAGCACAAGCGTTGCGAGCTGAGCCCGAAAGTCTCGGCCCAGCTTCACGGCCAGCTCGCTGACCATGACACTGCCGCTGCCGGCCTGTACTTCGGTATTAAGCGCGGTGTTGAAGGGGGTTTCAGTAGCCAGAGTACTCATATGGCTCAGGCAGTACACAATTTGATCAAGCGCCTCTGTGTTCTCGTACTTAACGGCCACCCGAGCACATTCGTCAAATCCCGTCACTATTCTGGCGAAAACGGCATCGTCGGTCGCGGACATGAAAACATAGGAAAGAGTGGAGACGATGGGTTTCCATGTAACGGCGAACATGTCAGCATCATAAATGTTGGTGTTGCAGGTCACCAGGCCGCCGGCAGGCTCGGACTTCAGTAACATTTCTCTCCAGGTATAGTCGAATGCATGCTTGTTGTCGTGTTCATCCGGCAGGATAATCTCGTTGGACTTGATCGAATCGAAAATGTCCTGAAGATATTTCGGGGAAAAGTTCTGGCCGTCATTTTGGCCTCGCAGATTTCTCGAGAAGTCGTCAAAAGTCATGCGTTTCGAGGATTTGAGATTGGGGTTGTGCTGGTCAGTGTTCAGGATGATGATGGCGTAGGTCAGAATAAAGACAGCGTCTTTGTTGGCAACTTCTTCGGGCGTTTTGCCTGAGCAGTACTTCTCGGCAAACGACTCGACGATCGATGCGATGAGCGGCGCCTCCCCAGGCAGTCGAAATGTCTCGAGGAGCACTCTCAAGGCTTCGTCTATACGCTTGCCGGAAAAATAAAACTGGTCCATGAACGCCTCCAAAATGGCGTCGTTGCCTTTCTTGGACAGGAAATCGCCAAGCACAGACTTGGACACATGCGACGTCCCCTTGAGAAACTTGGCCACCTCAACAGGGTCTTTAGCGTCGGCAATGATGCCATGCGACTCCAAGAACCCCAGCCCAATCTTGGGCTTCTCATTGAAATGGCCGGTTCCCTTGACGATGATCTTCTTTCTCCGTCGTCGCTCCCGGAGCTGAGCAGGGTCGGGGAATCCCTCGTGAGCGGGTACCTCGTGCAGCCTCTCCGCCAAGAACTGGATATATCGCAGCAGCGCATCCAAGCATAGCGGGGGCACACTTGTGGTGCTCCACGTTGCAGAATCTGGAAGCGCGTTGCGGGACAAGAGTCCAATCAAATCCTCACAGAGATCGGCGCGGTCTTCATCGCAGTCGTAATTGACGAAAAGCTCGGTGACAAATGTCGGCATCCGCGACAACACCCCGATGCTTTCGACCATGGCCTGCCGGGCCTCGGGTTTGCGGGTGCCGCCCTCCAGCCCGAGTTTTTGTCTGTCCTTGACAGACACCGGCGTTGAACGTCCGCTGCTCTGCTGCGACGGCGGTGGCTTCACCAATTTTGGGGTCTCTGGAATACCGGAATATAAAGCCGGATCAATGCCTGGTTCGCGGGGAATATGCACGGTGGGGTGTAGACATGCGACCAGGTACGACAAGAAAAGCTCCTGTTGGAGCTTGAGAATCCCCCGACAGGTTGCCAGCAAAGTCCCAGCGACGATTAACGACTCTTGAAGGACAGCCATGTTGTCGGATCTGACAAGCTGGAAGAGGTAGCAGCAAAGGCGGTCCTCAGCAATAGTCGCCAGAGCGGGATGGCGGGCTATGAATGGCCCCGAAACCTCGAGTGCTACGTGAAGAATGCGCATGGCCATGACTCTCATGGTATCCGTGTGTTGACGGTCGTTGGGGTCCAAGAAATTGACAAGAACTCGAAAGAGTTCTCGAACGGATGGTAGAGAATAGGGTTTGAGGTCCAGGGATTCTGTGTCGCCATCATTCTCGCTCCTGGTGTCGCGGCCGGTGTCAGACAGAGAACCGCTGCGACTTCGGCCATCAACAGGACCCGGGGAAGACGGGGTGGGGGCATCTGATGCCGCAATGTTGGTGTTGGCCGGCACCTCGTCGGTGCTAGTGGGAACCGGTGCTTCCATCTTGATACGGCCTATTTCGCTCTGCGCCTGCTGGTCCAGATCGAAAAGATCATTCCAAGCTTCGGCTTCTAGGTGCTTGACATCCTCAAAGATAATCTGACACATCCTCACCATTGAAGCTTCGGCAGTTCTGCGTAGGACGGGAGAAAAGCGTGGCTGAGAGCAGATGGCCAGTCCGCGACCCATCATGTCGCAAACGCTCTCGTCACTCAGGATGTCGCCCCCAGGCCCGGACATCATGTCCTCCATCAGGTTGAGGATCATGAGTAGTACAACCTCACCCTGAGCCGAGTCACTGACGTCGAACTGACAATGCGTCACGGCAGCTGAAAGCGACTGCATGGAGAGCGCAAACCGGGGCGATTCGGAGCAGACAAAGCCATAAGCAAGGAATTTTCTCAACGCCCCGAGCGCAAGGATGGTGATGGGCGCCGCCGTTCCCTTAGCCTGTATGACCAACAAGAAGGGGGCCAAGAGCGAAGGGGCGTCGAAAGACCGGATGTCTGTTTCCCAGTTGAGCGATGAGTGCATGGCACGATAAAATATGTCCAGTTGGCGTATACGCACCCTTGACGGCAGCAACCTCGTAACGCAGTTTTCCAAAACCTGCCACCATGGGGTTGTCCTGCATGCTCCTCCCCTTCTGGCCGCGCAGACCCCAGCGATTGCTGGCGGCAATAGCATCAGAGCCGCTGTCGTCGGCGCCCATCGCGGCAAGGGGGCTTTTTGCTCGGCTCCTGGGAGCAGCGCTGGGTGAAGCAAGCTGCAGGGGGTTGGGGCTCCCGCCGAGGATAGCAGAGACCGAAGAGTGTGGCGACCGCGCAAGCTTCTGAATCGCAGAGGTGATGGATATGCACTCGGATATGACTAGTGAGATAGGATCCACGGCAACGGAGACAGGGCTGTTCCGATATCGCATCCTCGGAGCGTCGTTGGTCTGGTTTTCATGATTCGCGGTCGTGGAGGGCAAGGAGACCCGAACAGCGGTCGAGAATTGAGCATCGCGGCTCATGGTCTGTCGCTGGGCGGAGAAGAGCTGCACGCACGGTTAGCGACCAGGCCTAATCTTAATTCAGCACACGCGCCTGGGCTTGAGCAACCTGATTCCTTGTCATGCGAAGCGGCAAAGTCTCAACAACGCTGATTTGGAGGCGCGTCTGAACGGTGGCCTTGCTGGAGCTCCTCGATGGCCAGTCAGAAAAAAGCAGGAGATCTCAACTCCTGAGAACCCGTGGAAAGGCGCGTTAAAGGGAGGCTTTGCGATGCTTGCCGAGCTTGGAGTCAGGCGAGGCGGAGGTGTCGTTTTCGAAGGTTGCTTCCTAGAGCCAAGAGGTCAGGTAGGTGTCTGTCTAGGTAGGTACCTGGTACTTTTTAGTCAAGGTACGATACGGGTAGGCTCCTCTGGGAATAATAGATCTACCTTAGGTAGGTACCTTAAGTCAGCACACCTAGCTTCCGGCACCCCCTACTTCCGGCACCCTTCGCAGCACTAAGGCAGGCATGTTCTAAACGCAATTAAAGCCGTATTTTAATATCACGATAATTAAATTTAGTGTTTCTAGCTACTCTAGCTGCTAGCTATTATAAAGAGCTTTAAATCCTATATTTTAATTAGCTATAGTAGTAGTAGCTAGCTTAAGTATATACTTAAGCTATTTTTTTATTTCTATAACTTATTTAATTTATATAAACTACTAAAAAAAATTCTTATAAAACTAATATATACTTATAGTAGGTATATATCGCGACTAAAATACTAACTAATACTAGGAATTAATTTATTAGTATTAATTACCCTTAGTAATAATACTACGCTAAGGCTAAGGGGTAGGTAGATATAGTAGCGGCCCTCGATATACCGGGCTCGATTAGAGCGTATAGCGCGAAGAGACGCTACCTAAATTTATATACCCCGATAAGGCGAGTTAATAAACCTAAAGTAGCGATATAATATTAGCTTAAGCGCCGAGCGACCTTATAGAAAAAGTAGTATATAATAAACTTATAGGCTTTATCTTAAGTATATAGTTTAATAAGGTATAAGTAGTAGTTAAATAGCTCTTTAAGGTAAAGAGCTATACTAATAGCGTATTATTAATAGTACTTTATATAGATAAGAGCTTTAAGATAATAATTTAAGATATAATTAAGGAGGTAGTTAAGAAAGAACTCTACCTAAGTATTACTTTAAGCTTAAAGGGCCCTAAGTAAACCTAGGCCGCGGTTATAGCTAAGACTAAGGGACTAACCTAATATAAAGCTATAGTAAAATAGGTCCTACCGCGCTATAAACGTAAGATTATTATAGTCTTTATTAAGGTACCGCTTAAAATCTTAAGCTATAAACTAAAGAATATAGTAAAGGCGGTAAATAAAGCCCTAAAAGCTATAAGCGCTATAGCGGTAAGGCGCCTTTAAAGCGGAGATATCGTGGTTATATTTAATACCGCGGTAAGAGCTTACTAAAGGGACTAAGGCTAAGTTAAAGCTATATTTAAACTAAAGGCTATAATTACTTACCGCGCGTATATAGTAGTTACTAAGAATATCTCTTTAAGGGTAGTAATAGTAAATAAAGAGTAATTACTTTATAAGATTATAAAGGCGAATAAAGTTAACGTCCTTTAGGCCTAAGCGCTATACCCTTAATTTAAGATATTAATAATAATAACTATACTTATTAAGGTTAGTAGCTTAAAAGAGGCTAATAAGCTCTATAACTTAAGCTTAGTCCTTAAAGTATAAATCTTTTAATATAAACCTTATAATAAGTTAGTTTAATTATAGAGGTACTATAACTATTATAGATATAATTATATTACTAAATAATATATATTAATATAACTTTATAGTTAATATATATAAGAATATACCCTTATATTCCTATTTTACTATTATAAAGAAATAATAGGCATAGGGAGGCTTTATAGAATAAGCTAGTAAAAAGAGGCTCTATAATATAGTCTAAGGGAATAACCCTTAAAAAACAAAGACCTTTACTAGACATCTATACCTTCCTCTAGGAAAAGCGGGTTAGGATAAGCCTATCCTTACAAACAAAAATATACATAAAATGCATAAGTTAATTACGAGCATAACGGATACCCTATTGCCTATTTTAGCCTAGCGGTTCCGAAGATATCCGCGATACGAGAATAGGTAGGGCATAGAATATTCTAGTTAAATCCACTACTTATGCTAGAACCTATAGTCTTACGTTAACCATTACGCTATAATTAGACCACCTACTAAGTTAGGAAGATATACTATAGATAGAGCTTTTTAAGTACTATAGAATATGCTAGAAAGCTAACTAATTAGTCTACTAGTAGGCGAGCAATAGTCTATAAAAGACGAATAATTTCCCTAGGAGTAGTAGATAGAATAAGTAAGTTTATAAGTATCTTTTACAACGCTATTCTTTTAATATATTATTTAGCCCCTTATATGCTCGTTATAAATTCCGGACGAAATCCTACCCTATACTCCTTCGACCGATCTTTCCGCTTACGTTATCGATTACCCGATTCTACGCTTATTGCTTATACCTTCTAACAGGTTATAAGCCCGGCTTCTCTATAAGTTAGGTAATAACTTTAAAAAATCTTCGAAATTCTAATACTAACTATACGACCTCGAATTATCTAAAATAGGCTCTAGGGATAAGTTCGAATTTACTAAACTTAAGGGTAGTTCTAACTATACCTTCTAGGCTATTCGAATATAGGCTCTTTTAGATAGAGAGAAGCTTTCTACTACTATATAGTAAGAAAATTACTCGAAAATAGAAGAAGCACTTACTTTGATTTTTCTTCGTATTAAAGATAGTCCTTTAACCTAAATAAAGCATATAATAAATGCTAAAGAGGCGTAGGATAGGTTAAAAAACCTATATAACCCTATTTCCTTTACCTCGAATTACTTACTTATAAAGGAGCTTTTTAATACTTTAGTAAGGGATTTCGAATCCTAGAAGGCTACCTAAATAAGGTAAAAGAGGTATTCGAAGAGCTAAAAGCACGGAATATTATAATTCCGGAAGTAGTTATTATAGCTTGATTTTAAACAGCCTTTCGGGCTCGTTTTCTAGCTATATAACTAATATAACGTAAGCTCTTCGAAATAACTTAGAAGCTTTTAATCTAGAGTCTCTCTCTAGTAGTCTTATAGACGAATTTAAGAGGACTAAGTCTCTAGAAAATCCTCCCGAGCAGGCTTTCTTTACTAAGAAGCCCTAGAAAAAGATAAAAATTATATTATAATATACTTATTATAAGAAGAAAAGGCATCTAGTTAAAGATTACTACTATCTTTACCCGGAAAAGGCCCTTAAAGGCTTTTCTAAAAATTTAAAAAATTAAAAGAAAGGAATACCTTCTAAGAGGCCTAGAAAACCTTCTATAGAAGGAAATCCTATCGAATTAGACTCTTACGTCGATAAGAAGACGAAAAAACCCTCTTCTCTATATATATTAAAAGTAGAAAAAATAGAAATCGATAATTAAACGGACGAAGAACCGGAAATCGATTTTTCTATTCCTCCTCCTACCCCTAGAGGCTATAAAAGCTCCGAAGAAAAAGCAGAGGTATATATCTCTTCGAATATCCTTAAAAAAGCCGTATTTAATAATAGGTAAATAGGACCTTTAAATTCCTCTCGAATTAAAGACCTTATATATATAGTAAAAGAGAAGGAAATCCCTTATAAAACCTTAGAGAATAGAAATTTCTATAATTTTATATATAATACCGGTGCTACTAAGTATATAGTATCGGAAAAGAAATTCCTTATTAATTTTCGAACTATCTCTACTAAGGTTAATTAGGGAAAGGCATCCTATATAATTATTAAAGGCTACGGAGATCTTTTTTTTAGATTTCCGAAAAATAAAAGGCTATTTATCTTAAGAAACTACCTTTTTATACCTAAATTAGGGGTAAATATTATAAGCTAATCGTATTTTAAAAATACTTATACCTTTATTAATAGCAAGGAAATTTTCCTACTAAATAACTAGGCTAATATTATATTTAAAGGAAAATAGTAAGATAACCTTTATATCTTCTCTTTAGAAATTCCTTTCTTAAAGAAGAAGATATTCCTATATAATATTAATAATATAAGGAATAATATAAAGGACCTTAACTTTTATTTATAGCATTTAAGGCTAGGATATATAAGTCTTAAAGCCTTACTAGAAACCTTTAAAAGATATAATAAAGATATAACTATCCCTAAGAAGGATATTATAAAAATTAAAGAATATAAGGCTTATATTAAAGTAAAGGCAACTAATAAGAGGAATAAATCCTATCTAATAAGGTATATAATTACCTTAATAGAGTTACTATTAATATTTAGGGACCTATAAAGACCCTACTTATAATAAATATACCTCCTTTATATCCTTTTAGATATAGGGATAAGATATTTAGAAATATCTTTAATAAAATCTAAGGTAGAAGCCCTAGATAAATTCTTAGAATATAAAGCCTTAGTTAAAAATAACCGGGATAATATTACTATAAAAGAAGTATTTTCGGATAACGTAAAAGAATTCCTATATAAAATAAAACCCTACTACTTAAGAAAGGGAATAAAATATTATACTAGCCCTCCTAGGACTCCCGAATTAAACGGAGTAATAGAGAGGATTAATAGGACTATTTTAAATAAAGTCCGAGCTATTTTATTTACGGTAAAACTACCTAAATATCTATAGGGAGAAGCTATTTTAATAGCAGCCTATTTATATAATAGGACCCCTTACTTACGAATAGGCTTCTAAACTCCTATAGAGAAGAAGGAAAATAAATCTCTAGCCTTAAAAGACTTAGAGAAAATTAAGACCTTCGGAAGTACTATTTATTATAAAAATAAAGACCCCTTAGATAAGCTAGAGATAAGAGCTTATAAGGGTATTATTATAGGCTATACTAAAAATGCTTATAAAATATATAACTTTTTAAAAAGAAAGGTAATAATTTCTAGAGATATTACTATCCTAGAAA